CCGATTCAGCACCAACTTGGATAAGTCATACGGAGTTAGATAGAGCGGAACTGGCGGCGCGTGTCCTATTTTCAGCTATGGTTTGGATGATTCAGTGCGAGCCATTTCGACTACTGGAGTATAAGTACCAAGTGAGAGATGCAAACAAATGAGTTAGCCGAGGTATTAGTGAGTATGTAGGATGATTAAATTGTTCTGCTTACGTCTAATCATCATAAATATTCCGGAACAGAGAATCTTCCCGTATAGGAGACGAATGTATCTAAGTGAATAAGTCTTCAATTAATTTGCAAACTAGATTTTTCCAACAAGAGTCATGTAAAAAAAGAGTAGAATTTATCAAAACCATCTGGTAAGGATGACGATTAGGATGGAGAGCACATTCTTCACATTCAGGTGACTGACAATAATCTCTCCGACTAGATGCTGAATGAAGACTTAATTTTCTGCTAGGTGTCGCTTAAAAAAATTGCATATACTCAAATGACTTTGATTCTGAAAAGCTTGAGACGTATTATATCATAAAAGTGCTCTGTCTGGATCCATAATAATATTTATTTTCATTATTTTACTTAGAGCATTTTCCACCTTGCAGCTCAACCTTAAATAGATCATGTTTTGCCTCTATTCTAGAGTTCTATTCTCGAAAAACACTGGACTGATATATTTCTCTTCACATTAGTGGAAGTTGTCGCGGGTGATCAATCAGGAAAAACCCAGATGAGCCAAAGTGATATACTGAGACCATTGGGAGGCCGAGGTAATGTGCAAAAGCAAAAGAGCAAAGATCTGTTAAGTAGTCTTTTCATCGAAGAGGCTAAACATGATTCACATGTAGCTAAAGTCTTGGTTAAACTCGTTGGCCTTCTTGACTTGGAGGCGAAAACTCTGACGGAAATCAAAGTTAAATTGCTTCTTCATGCAAGTAAGTCAACATTTTTTAGTCCATCGAAATAAGTCCAGGAATGAAGTGGTGTTTTCCCACAAACGTAAACTGTTTAAGACATAATAGCAGGGTACTATCCTAACCCACTTAACGATTTGTAGCTTATCTACTCTTGTAAATTTTCTTATGTTCTGAATAAGATCCATATACATCTAGGCTTCGAGATTGTCAAAATATATGAATTAAGAGAGCTCAAAATCTCACCTTGAAAGTCACATCTACTTTGAAACCTAGTGGCTGTGGCGAAGTGCTGTGTCAACAACATACATATGGCCTGGTCTCAAATCCCGTTAAATGTATTGATGAGACCCGAGAAGGGTGTAAACTACAGTCAAGCCTGGATGGGAAAATTTTTCGAGAGGCAAGGCAAAATGGAGGAATGCAACAGCCAGTCCTTATAATGATGCTGGCCTCCCTTTAATTTTATTTTAAAATGCGGATGGAAGGTGTTCATGATTTGGCCTCATCGGGTACCCAAAAATGATTTCCTTGAACTTGTGACTGTTGGATTATGCAACAAAGACCTTGGCTCATTGTCCTTAGACCCCGATAAATTCGCGCTGAGCTTTTATCCGCCATGTGAAGGACATCATGAGAGCCATAAACCGATATTTACTATCTCCAAATAGCAATATGCTAAAAAAAGGTCCTTTCCTGTTCAGTAATAGTTCGTAAATAATGGTTTCTGTGTCTGACGATGTCCGCCTCATGGCGGATGAAAGTTTAGCGCAGATTCATCAGTTGCAGGATGGTGAGCCGATGTCTTTTTGGTGTAATCCAACATTCACGAGCTATCCGATGAGGCAAATTTACTAATCTCTTCCACCCGCCTTTTAAAACAAGATTAGAGGTATGTCACCATTAATATATTAAGGGATTCTTGAAGCCCAGCTTCTCATATATCAGTCTTTATATTAACTTCAAAATCATTATTTGTTTTAGAACACCATTGAGGGACAGAAACTGTTGGGATTCTCTATTCAAATAAAATTTCAAACTTAAAACTTTTTGATGCTGACAAGTGGAAGGGATCTGTAATTTGGAACCCCGGAAACCGGAGTATTTTCTTGGAGCTGTGACTAGTTTTGTGTAAATAATTCCTCAACGCACCACACTGCAACCCCGAAAAGTCCTTGCTGAGCTTTCGTTCGTCGTCTGATAGGCGTCATCAGATCAGGAAATTATTTGCGCAAGTTTAGGGTCACAGCTCCAAGGTGATCCACTTTTGGCCTTGGATGAGGCCACCTTACGAATCCCTTCCACAAGCGTCCTAAAACGAGATCAGAGGCATGCCAGTATCTATGCCCCCAGGAATAAGACTAAAATTTCTTTTTAAAATTTTTGACCTCACCCATCTTAAGAGATTTTTTATCCAAGTCGGCTTTTAAGAAGGCGTGTAATTGATATTTCGATGCTCAGGGCCTCAACATGTAGAGATGAGAGACCCGTAAAGAGAATGAGTAGAACTTGATCCGCATACATCTACTTCTTGCTAACTACATGCCTATTGTTCTACAGATAACAGACTTCGCATCCTATCGAAGCAACGACTCGGATGCTGGCCACAAGACTGTATCACCAGTTGTCAGGCTGCACCGCACCTCTTGACTACAACTAGCCTTGACGAAGTGGACCTTGGATACAAGGATCAAGCCTTACTTTCGGAACAGCAAGTCCACAAAATCTTCTTCACCCCCATTGTTGGATCAGACCCTCAAAAGTTATTTAGTGTGGTGAAGAAGATATTCGCGGAACTCTCAGCAACTGCATGCGTACAAGCCACATCATTTTGGCTTGACTTGATTGAAGGAGTTTCAACTAAGGTGTTCGAGCCCAATCGGACTGCTGAAAAAAATCATTCAGCTTGGGAAAAAGACTATCCGAACTTTTGCCCACGTCTACACGTGTAGAGATCTGAAGAATAGGTCAAATCCAAATAATGACGCTTAATGTTAAATATCGCATATTCATCAAAAATTACAGCTATCCTGCATTAACGAGCTTTAATTTTTTCGAACCTTATGCTTCTGTTAAGAAGATTGAGATTTCCAACTCAATTTAGGCCATATAACAACCTTAAAAAAGGGCAAAATGAAGCGGCGAGTCCCAGCCCAGGGTGTG